GAGAGAAGGGACACAGACGGGATCCGGAGCCAGCTCTAGTTTCATTCCGGCATCAGGCAGCTGAGCCGTCATGAGGAGCTCAGCTCATCTCCTGCAGCTGCAGTTTTGCTCACCATTAAACTAAAGTCGTGCTTTCCTAGAGGTCTCTGAGCTAGTTTAGAAGAGTCTGATGCTGAGGGAATTGTCGACGGCTGTTTTAGACTAGACTTACTGTAACCAAAATATTTTCCTTAATCTTTAAACAAAAGTCTATATCTGGCTTCCTCAATAGCCTGTCAAAACATCTTACTCAAACTTTGGTAGACTTGATTAGGTAATTGGTTCTTACAAGATATAGTCTTGTTTACCAAAATGGACAGAAATGGAAACAAAATGATTATTCATCCTTACTTTTTTTGAATCAATTTATCTTAAACAGAAAGGTTTCAAGTACAGCATTTACCCATTTGTCTCTAGAAGCATATTCTCGTCAGAGTTCACTGCATTCCTTCCTATTTATATGGACAGATGTTTCCCCCTCCTAGGCTGTGTGACGTGGTGTGCTGGTAAAGCTGCTTCATGCAGACAAACGTGAGGAAGTTAAGTGAAGGAAAACAAAACGTGGCAGTTTGGGCTCCCTTGAAAGAGTAGTGCTTACCTTGAACAGACTCCGTTTCTTGCTCAGTACTGATCTCTGATTACAATGAGATAGGGAGAAATGAGCAAATGAGTAAGAGAGAAAACCTGCTCTCTGCAGTGCCTGTGAACCCGAGAATTATTCCAGGGGAACCCAGCCCTCCCAGAGTGCTGTCCTGGTTTTATGGAGACCTGGAGTGGTCACAGCGATGCCCCTCTGCCTTAGAATGCTCGCTCTACAGAGAACCATGCGCCTGCATTAATGTTCCTGATGAGTCAGGGGCAGAGCTGATTTCAGAGGCCAAGCAAGAGGCCATTCCCCATCACCTGGGAGCTCAGGGCTTCTCAGGGGACAGAGCTCCTGGGTGAGCCCCTGCGGGGTCCATGCGTCTCCCCCTAGAGACGCTTGGTTGTTGGTAGAGTGTGTGCAGACACTCTTGTCCCTACCAGCAGTATAGCATTCCGGGTTACAGTGACAATCAGATACAAAAAGAATAGGACTTGCTGAGATAGCAACTACATTTCAAAAAGAAGCAATCAATTATACATTTTTTAATTTAAAAGTAGACATCTATGTCAAAATCAACCATCACAGATGATGTTGGTCTCATTTTGAGCTGATACTCAGATCCTGAAACGATGTGTCCTCTTCTTCCTGTGCCTCCGCTCCCAGATGTGTGTGAGATGGGATCACATTATCCCTTTATACTGAGTGTGGTGAGTCACGGGAATCAGTGGTGGTGTGGACCCACAGAGTTAGCATTTTCTCCCACCTGACTTTCCTTCCAACAGACAGTGACCTGACTGGGGGAGGTTTACACTCCACAGTCTGAAGTCCCATGAGGTCTGGGACATAAAGGTTGTGTTTGCTTTTTTCCTTTCTCTCCTCATTATCCATTACTTTTTCTTAATGATTTATCAAGCTGCACTCACAGGAAAAAAACTCCTGAGAAAATCTGATATGATTGAGGGAGTCAAAATCTGTGGATTTGTGCCAACCTTTGGAGAAAGGCATGACTCACTCCCCTACAAGAAAAGGACTTGACATTAAGAAAACAAATGTTATTGACCAGTCTGGACAAGAACAGGAAACCAGATCCCCCTTGCAGACAAGCTGTGGACTGTCCCTATGGAACTTCGCCACTTGGTAGCAGGAGAAAACCTTGGAAACTGGAATAGTAGGGCCTGGCCAGGCAGTCTTGACTGCAGGCTATATGGCCTGAACTCATGGTTTTCCATTTTATTTAATGATGATATGAGTCAGCATTTTAAAGGGCAGCCGATGGTTAATGGTGTTTTCTACCCAAATTATTCTGTGGATTGTTTTCTACATTCTGTGCACAAATTCCAAGAGTGGAGAAAGAAGGAAGATAGAAGCTAAACCACAAGTATTCTCTGGGCGGCCAGAATGTGTTGACTGCCCATGAGTTGAAGGTTAAGAAACCCTGCTGTGTGGCAGAATGACAGAGGGCCTGATGGACTGAGGTCTCGTGGACTCTGAAGTGAGTCTGCCTGTGAGTGTGGGTGGTGGGTGGTGGGGAAAGATATTTGTGGTCTGGATAGAGCAGATTTGATCTAAAAAAACCTGTTGTGTCAAAATTCAGTTATGTTCCAGAGACACAGACAATGGAGAGCGAGAAGCCCGTTGTCCAGGATGATAACTTTCAGGGGGTCTGGGGTGTGGTGTGCTCTGGATTTCTGGCTTTCTGCTCTCCAAGGTCATCTCACTGTGTCTCTAATGAGGTCACTCTTACCAAAAATACTTACAGAAAAGAAGGAAACCACATATATTGGACACTTCTTGTGTGACAGAAATATGCTAGGTGCTGACAACTTTGAAGTAAATGGAATTTCTCCATTTTAAAGATGAGGATGTTCCTGCTGAAGACCCCTGCCTGTGTGTGCGTGGTGGGCGCTGGGTCAGTTCCTCTCCTCAAGGACTTGACAGTCCAAGGGTCACGATGCTATAAGGGCATTAGGATTACAGAATTATAACCTGAAGTCAATATAAAATGGATGACCTGTAAATAACTTTTACGGGGGTATTCTGCACAGAGCTTCAAAAAACGCTCAGGGCGTTTAAAGGACAGAGGTAAATTCCTCGCCATGTTGAGTGATCATTGAGACACGTAGTTGTGGTGAGGACTGAGGACAGGAGGAATAGGAGTTCCGAGTCTAGACAAGGTGGAGTGAAGAAAAGCAATTAGTATCAGTGTTCTGAAATGCATTGTCATGAACATGGTGTTTACAGGACGCCAAATGGGGCCATGCCTACTTGAGAGATGATGATGCCAGCATGGGTATATGGGTATTCTTCTCCATTGTATTTCACAAGCTTGAAGAAATCTCTGTAACACGTTTGCACCCCCTTGAATTTGGGGGTATTTGATCAAGCCAGCCATCCAGTGAGACACCTCCACAGCTCCAGAGTTGGATCAGCAAAGCCCCTTCTCTGGTTTGCTTCATTTACTTCATTTTATCCTCTGGACCCTGCGTCATTAAGTAAATCTAAGTTCTGTCTCCTTGGGTGCTCAGGGTTGCTATGGAGGTGGATGTAAGACAGAGGGAAATATTTAACAGAGTTCATTTTGCGTTAGCTTATTTGCTGAGTAATGAGTCTGATGTCTGCAGAACACAAGGATTGGGAGAAATGCTTTACATTTTTCCATGGGAGCCTAAATAGGCACCAACGAGTTTTCTGGGTGTCAGGCTATGTCCTATAGATCTCCCACCTGTTTCCTATGGGAATTCTGTGTTTGATGAACAAGGCATTGGATATCTTTGACACTCAAAGTTTCACAAGGAAGCGTGAACTGGCATAAAAAGCAACCTTCGGAGGTTGCTTTTTTCCTTTGACTTTAGTATTTAAGTACAAGAAAATCTAAGTCTCAAATATCTTCTCAGGTAACTGGATTATAGTATAATTGGCAGAACAGAACAGACTTTGAGTCTGAGCCAGGTAATAGTGGGCTGTTGCTGAATATGATGGGTTTCCTTTATATATTTATTTTAAAATGGCAAATCAATTGTTCAAATAAAAGCTCACCCACAGTTCATTATGTGAAACATGAGAGCAGAGTTGCCCAGAGGCACACTCATCCATCCATTCATTCCCACATATGTTGACTCGAGGGCCGTCCACACACCAGGAGCTGTTGGGAGTGGGACACGGCAGTGGGTGAAAATGAGGAATAATCATTGTCCTCATGGGGCTCACGTTTTTAATGATGGAGAAAAAAATAAATATATAAGAACCATAACAGCACATACTGGGTGGTTACTTTGTGTCTAGAACTTTCTAGAGCTCTTTCACATGTGGTAACCCTTTTAGTTCACATGATAACTTTGTGATGTAAATGCTATTATTTATCTCAGTGTTACAGGAGATAAACTGAGGCAGAGAGAAATTAAGAAACTCACCCCAGGTCATGCAGCTTATCCGTGGCAAAGCCAGGAATCAAGTGCAGGCAGCGTGTCCCTGTTGTCGGTTGGCTCACCTCTCCACTGCGGTGGCCTAGGAGTGGAATAGCCTGGGGGCACCTGTGCTGGGGAGGAAAATCGGGCAGGGCTGGGGAGGAGGCGCACCAGGGCAGGGGGTGGGCTCCGTGTTGTTTTTAATTTGAAGTCAGAGTGCTAGTTCTCTAGACGCTCTTTCTGCACTAACGCTTGTATGATTCTATTAAGCAGACCCTGGGGGAAAAAGTTGGAAAAAATTTGTGTGCTCTTTAGTCTGCTCCCTTAGTATAGAAATTCCTCCTGAGGAGCAGTTAATTAGTGTGTTAGGTTGAATTTATTTTCAGTTTATTAGGTATCTATCACAAAGTACTTCATTCATAGTCACATGAAGTCCTCACAGCGTTCATTTATATGACAGTCAATTGTTTGTAACTTCTGAAAGTTGGAAGAAACCTAAGCCCCTTCCTGGCAGCAGGTGAAGTACTTATCAAGATGGCAAAGATGATCTGCTTCTCCCTGAGAAGATCTGTCCCTGCGCCTTGATCTGTCCCTTCCTCTTTTCAGCATCTAAGAGCTCACTCTGATGACAAGTTAAAGTTTTAAGGAGGCTAATTCATACCTGTAGGTACGTCAGGCATATTAAATGATTCTAGCTGGACTAGGGTTTAAGATGTCTGCCATTTCATTCATGATTAAGAAAATAAACCTTACAGCAAGAATCTGTCATGTAATGTCTTCCGCTATAATTTTCCCAGGAAAGTCAAAATATGGCTTTTGCTCAGGCCATTTAAGGCTGTCAGTGGACATGGTGATATAAGAAGGTAGGATGGATGGGTTGGCAGTATTTCCATGTGTGAGCATTCATACACTTCATACACACAGAGGTCGGCTCATAGTGATGAGATCTTGTTTGTCTCTTCCCCCAGCAGGGCTGTCTAACTACCCCGAACTCCCCGTCCGTGAATTCCCGTTCCATGACGTTGGGTCCATCCCTCTCGCTCAGCAACATCTCAGGGGTGTCTGTGAAGTCGGACATGAAGAAGCGCCGGGCCCCTCCGCCTCCTTCCCTGCCTGGTGCGGGGCTACCTGCACGAGACAAGGCATCAGAGAAGGTAGGGAGAGAGCAGCCCTCGGGACCAGTGCGTCTGTTAAGGAGACTAGTGAACTCTGGAAGTTCCCTGTGTACACTACAATCCTTCAAGTTTGTGGCTTTAGCAACGGGAGTGTTTAGGGTGAATATTTAAGCCTCATTTAGAAGTAAAGGTGAAATGCCACGCTGCTTCATTCATGGAAGATAGGAAACTGGTTTTGTGCCTTTAGTCCTTAAAGGCCTATGCTTGTTGATTAACATTTATTTTATATTTAGCATTGAAATTTGGGGCATCATCGTGATTGCTTAATGAGAAAATTGCATGGTTACAGGGACTGTAAGAAATCTGGGGTGTGTAGGATAGGGATGATACATAATCTAATAGAGGTTCCCTACATAATTCAGACGCACAGGAAAGTGGAGAGGATTTTTGCATAAGAAGTTGCTTTCTGTATGATGTAACATTTATTTGGGGGGCCTTGTGTTTTCAAGCCTCCTGTTTTGTGTTTATCTTCAAAGCAACCTATTGCCTTTGCCAGTGACTGAGTCGTTACATATTGACCGGAGAGCTTATGTCCTCAGCGGCCGGGTTCTCCATCTGGGCTTCTTTCTTTCATCTGCCTGCTGACACCTTAAAACCTTATTTGAATTATCAGAGCCTCACTTTCCAGAGGGTGGGACACTCTTTGACAGGCACTCCTCTTTTCGTGGCTTGGAATGTGACACTAAAAATGTAAAGTAAAGTTTTTATTTTCTAAACCCATCCTTATTTGGGTGGGGCATGGCAGAGCCAACAAGGGTGGCCAGGATTGGACCGTGCTTTGGGCTCTTTTAGAAGCTGAGTCCTCCAGGGCAGACCAGACTGCACCCAGCAGCAAGGGCTGCTGCATACGTTGCTCTAAGACACTGGGTTCACCTGCAGTGGAAAGATAAGGATGCGTTATTCTTCATTAAGCTGAGCTGTTTCCTAGTGACTTGCATCCCAGCTTCCTGGGGAGATACCACACTGTGAACAGGAACATTTACATAAAGCACATTTAAAATCCATTTATTCTCTCACAGGAGCTTAATTTCCTGACTCTTTCCTTCTGTTTTGGTGTCACTTAACCTTTCCCTGCTTCATAATGGTCGATAGCATCACACTCCTGCTAGTTTTGACATTCGAACACTTTTTTCTTATTCATAAAATGGCTTTTCCTTAAAATAAACTAGAAACTAAGTCTGTACCTCCCAAATAAGAGACTTGGTCCCTGGATCATGGTTAGAAGTTACACTAGTGGCTCTCTGTAGCATCGTCATGACATCTAGCTTAATTTCCTTTTTGGCCTGGTTGTCTGTCTGTCCATGTATCAGTCCGTCTGTCCATCAGTCTATATATTAATCAGTCATCTTTCTCAATCCCTCCAGGGGTATTCTTTATCCCTGGGTCTCAGAGACCACCCTGTTCTCATCTTCAGACCTGTCCATTCATAGCCCTAGAAATGTGCCTGAAAGGCCTGTAATGCAACACATTTGAGAAGAAAGTATTTTGATTTTGTGCTGCTTAAACATTTTCTAATGCTACTAATTTATTTCGAGTTTTTCATAATATTTTAGCTGTCTTTTGATAAAAAGGAATTTGGACACAAATGGTACATCATTTTGCTGTACGCTTGCGTGATTAAATGGTACAAACTAAACATGAAGCTGCTTCTTCTGATTGTCTACAGTGTACCTCTTTACGTTGCTTGGGTTAGATTCTGAACATTTTCGTAACACGTGAATTATATTTATAGCATTTAGCACTTTTCAACCACCTGCCTCTGGGGATGTCTTTTTGCTTTTGATTGGGAGGGATGTTTCTTTAGGAGAGAAAATTACGAATTCCAGTATCATTATTATTTAAGCTTTTCTTTCAATGAGAATTGCATTTTCCTAATGCTATAGACTGTAGATGCTAACCCACATCAGCATTTTAAAAATTTCTTCCAGCCAGAGAAGGTGTGTTTTCCATATTTTAATATGCTTATCCAGAGTGGATCAAGTCGGCTTCAGTGGGAAAATGTATAGTAAGTAGAGAATCAGGAATTCTGAATGAAAAATAAATCGTACTCTATACCCTGCAGAATGAACAAAGTTCCTTCTGAGACAGTAAGAGCCTTTTACTAAAATTTGTTTTATTTGGCACAGAATGAGTGGAGAAATTGGCTCACAGAAACCATCTCCTTTTTTAAGCATATGAGGGGCATATGGATTAGATTTAAGCATTTGCTGTGGACATGCTTTTTTTTCTTTTTAAATGAAAAGTATTTTGTTATTTACTAATTTCTGGGAAAGGAACCCAAAACTGTATTGTCGTCGTTGTTGGGGAAGAACGTCAATTCCTTCTCATGAACTTCCTTCCATATAAAGATAAGATGTTTGTTTGAAAGCCTTATTTATATGCAACTGTTACTAACACCAGTATCCTGAATGAGAAGGAAAAGTTCATTTTCAAGGACATGACTAGTTTATAAGAAAATTAGAATGCTGAAGTTTTCATATTTAAAAGACTTTTTTTCTCATCAATTAGTAATAAAAATTCAGTATTATTCAGGTCTTAGAGGTGGAATAATTGTACCAGCTTCCAGTTCACCAGATTATATACTCACAACTTGATTATTAGTGTTTGTTATTTCTAAAGTATTTTTCAAAGAGATTTTCCCAGAGGTGTTAGAGCCAATGAAAGAAATGAATGGTGTCTTGTGCAAGCCTGTTAGCAGAGAAGTGGGTAAGATGGGTAAAGTGACATGTTATCTTTTAGGAGGAGGTAGACCTGCCCTCTTGTGCCAGACCTTCATCTCTCTTCCCAGGACCTTGAATGTAGTTTTAATTGTGTGGAAACATTCAGACAGGAATGATATATTATATATGTTAGGGCACCATATGCTAAGTCAGTGTTTTTCAAACTTAAGTGATCATCAGAATCACCCCAAGGGCTTGTTAAAACATATTTCACTTGGGTCCACCTGAGAGTTTCTGGTTCAGTAGGTCTGGGATGGGGCCTGAGAATGTATGTTTCAGCAAGTTCCCAGGCGAACCCCAGTTTGAGAACCACCACTCCATAGAATGCTACCACCCTGATCCACCCACTTAGAATTTGGGCTAATCAAGTGTGAGGGAGGGTCCACTCAGTATAAATATTTTTAACAGATCTGGAGAGATTCTTCAGCAGAAAAGTTACCTGAAGATGAGTGAAGCTATGCTCTGTGATAATAATTAGGTACAGTTTACCGTAGGGTTAGGTGAGGCCTAGAGTTACATGTTAAGGTAAATAAATAGCTCTCACTTCTTGCTGGGACCCAGGGAGTGCTCATGTGAGGAGACAGAGGAAGCATCTGTTCCAGACAGGGTCAAGGTTCCACGCTGTCCTCTCCCACCTTGCTGCATGCTGAGGTGACCTCATGTCCTGCCCTTGGCCCTGATCTTGCTGGCAGCACCTGTGTTTGGGTCAGAGGCCCCTTTGTATACCAGGTCTTAGCAACCTATCCCCAAGGAGCTTTGTCTTCCTGTCACTTGTGCTCATTTCTCCCTCTTGGGCTGCTCTTGGGTCAGCATGGGTCAGTATTTCAGACTAGGAGGAGGGGCTGTGGACACAGATGCCTGGGTGGGCATCCCTCCACTCCCTCGCTGGTCCTCAGTTTCTCCTCTGCAAAGTAGAAACGATAAAAGCAGCATCCTAGGTGCCTAGTGCAAAAGTCAGAGCATGGACCCTGGAGCTGCTTCCTGGGTGCAGATCCAAGGTCTGTCATTCCTGGTAATGTCCCCTTGGCAAGTTATTCAACTTCGGAGCCAGCCAGTGGGCGGTGGGGAACCAGCGTGCCTGAGGCGGGGAGCGCTGAGCAGTGGGGGCGAATGCTCTGAGCCCCGGCCAGCGTCCTGCATTAACTGAGGGGCAGATTATATTTAAAAAGTGAACTTTCTATTGCTACAAACACCAAATGTGTAATGAAAAATCGCCAGGCCCCTGGAACACCTCATTCTGTTGAATAATGCCGGCACACTCTCCCTGCTCTTGGTGGCGTTTGCCCCTCTCGGCCACAAGCTGTGAACACCCACTTGCTAGTCCACACCTTCAGAGAATTATGGAGGAGGAGACAGTTACTCATCTCTTTAAGTGTTGGGGGCCTCTGTTTGAGAAGAACAAGAACAGAGTGCTGTCAAGTCATCCTTACTTAGGTGACTCGGTTTACCTGTTCATGATGGAAACAATCCCGTAGAGCACACTTGCTGACATCTTCATTTGTGTAACACTTTGCAGATGACAGAGCAGCTTAGTTCACTTTTTATCTCCATCCATTGATTAAAAATAAGTAACTTGTGGAAGTCTACTAGACGATGCTATCTGTGTTGTCTAATTTTAGTTATTATACACAAATATAAAATAAAGAACTAGTCATTAATTTATTCAGTCAATATACAGTTCTTATACACCTGCTTTTGTGCTGATAACAACTATAAATCCTTTTTTATTTTAAGTAAAAGTCATTCAAAAAATATTTTGGTTATTCAGGCTTTCTTTTGTCCTATATTATTTGAATTATTGCATTCATTATGTTCAATACCATAAAACTCCAACATGACAAGTATTTGTCTTCATTACCTCAAGTTTATTGCATTGGGACTAAAATAACTAGTGATGTTAGCTATTAAAATGAGAGATGATGGAGGCTCGTGTTATGATCAGTTACTAGCATAACCCAAAATGGATTTTTCTGTGAAAAATTTGCTTATATATTCAATAAATATTTGTTAACAGCTGCTATACGCAAGGCCCTGCACTTGAAAACATGAATTGATATTCATTACTGTAATATCTCAGTGCAGTGTACACATAAGAACACAGTATTTTGTACTGTGTAAATAATTAGGATAATCTGCATATGTTAGAAAGTTAGCAGAAAGCATTATTACTTGCAGTTCCATTTCCTGGATCATCATGAGAGTCAAGTAATTAGAATATTACAGGAAATCATAGAACTCTGCTGACTAGATGCCCAAAGATAT